AGGCGGACGGGGTGGGGCGTACCTGCCTGAGTGGGGGGCTTGAGAGGGACTCTACAAGAACCCATATTCTTTGGGGCCCTGCGGCTATTGGAGCACAGTTGTAGGGAAGAGGGGTCCAGAGGGCTGCTTAAGACCGACTGGATGAGGGACTGCAGGTTAGTAGTTAGGCCAGGGGAAGCAGAAATCTGTCCCCACCCCGGTCCTGCTGCACTTAGCTGCATGCAGGAAAAGCCACCCCCATCCTGTGCCCTCGCTTTGCCTCTACAACACTGCGGCAGCTCGGGGGGCCCCCCTCCCCCGAAGCACTTAGCCTGCTAATGGGTCTCCCGCCTGCCGGCGCCCCTCCCCGTTCCAGCCCCGGGAGGCCCCGGCGCCAGCTACACCCCCCTCCCCCAGGACCCAGGCACCCAGAGTTAGCTCTGGAAGGCCACCTTCGGTGCTGCCGACCCTGTGACCCCAGCTGTCTCTGTGGACTCCCTGCTGAGACGTTCATGAAGAGGAGGCTGGTGATCTGCCCAGAGGGGCCAGGAGCCTTCTGGGTGTCCCCAAAGGAGGAGCTCAGCAGTGCCTGGCCCACAGCAGGTGCCCTGAAATCTGTGTGCCAGCACTGGGAGGAGGGGAGGGTACATGGGCACTGGGATGAGTGGGGGCTGCAGCCCCTCCCGCAGGGCTTGGCTGGGGGGGGTCCTGCCTGGGGGCCCCTGTGGGAGCCCCCCCCAATACAGAGGCAGCAGCAGCTGCAGGTTTAAAGTAGAACTCATCCAGAGGGGCCAGCCAAGTCACCTAGAAACCCAGAAAGAGATGGAGCTGGTTCTGGGGAAGGAGGGGTCAGCGGAGGAGGAGTGGCCCTGTGAGCCCCTTTGCCCGAGGCTCTCAGAAGTCCCAGGCAGTGCTGAAACCCCAGTCTTCTCCCAGATCCCCACCATGTTGTTATCCAATGCTAACCTAGTAAATCTGCTTGCATTTGGCCTTGGCACCGTGGGGTGTGATTTATTATCTACACTTGAGGCCCAGAAAGGGGAAGGGACTTGCCCAAGGTCACACAGTTTGGTAGGATTTCAGCCCTCTGATTTTGTCTCCATTTCCTGTGCATGAGACAGATGGGGAGACAGGACCTGTGATTCCTGTTTTCTCTCACCAGGGCTGTGAAGGTATATCCTCAGAGACCCAGGGACCAGCAGATCTCATTGGAAGAACACGCCAGGGCAGGGGAAGGGTAGCCTCTGGTCCTACAGGCCTGGTTTCAAATCCACAACTTGCTGATCACACAATATGTTCTCTGTGCCTCAGTCTCCTTGTTCAAAAGCTAAGGACTGGCAGAAGATGAAATAGGTAGGAGAACTCAACCCCCACCCACACAGTCTGACATGAGGAAAGCTATGGTGTTGGAGGGGAAGAAGGGAACAGCACCACTACCACAGGCCAGCCCCAGGGCAGTGGACTCTGCCAGCTACAACCAAGGTCTGAATATTGTTGGACCTTCAGCCTCGGACAGAGGAACTCCATAGAAGCATTAGGCAGCAGCTCCTTGGAAAACAGGCAGGTAGCCTGTTGGCTGGGCCTGGGCCTGTTTCCCGCCACCCCCATGTCTCCTGAGGCCTGGACAGCCCCACCCATTAGAGGACTTCTTCCTCCTTGGACACTTTTCTCCTAGCCTTGGTAATAGTAATGGGGTTTCTCAGCAAACAGTAGTGGTAGAAGGAAGGCAGCCCTTCCGGCCTCTACCCTCGATTAAGGGAGTGCTTGTGGCCCACGGGATGCTCCCCAGGGCCTTAGCCACATTCTGGTGGGAGGGAGCCAGGACTTGGGAGGGTGGGGCTCAGGAGGCCACAGCCTGAAGCTGGAAGGCGGAGGAGCAAAAGCATACACACTTCAGTCCCAGCAGGATGCAGGCAGGAGAACAAAGCCTGGAAAGTAGGCACTGCCAAGCAGTGAACTCTGGGCCCAGCCACCAGGAGGTCAGGATGACCAGCCTCCTGAAGGAGGCTCAGGGCAGGTGAATGACTTGCCCATTGTCTCTTGGCTTACTGGGCAGTCAGGATCTGAATCAGGCCTTCCACTCCAAGAGTAAGGCTCTTGGAGTGAGCAGCCCCACCTTCAAGAAGGCTTCGAGTCAGCACGCCATCGCCATCTGTACCCTGTTCTTGGGGTGAGTGCCATGGGAAGGCATTGGATGATCAGGGGAGTTGGCCCCAGGAATCTGGGTGTGCCTTGGGGGTGGCACAGGGGAATGCTAGAAGGAAAGGCAGAGAAAGGGCACAGCCCAGAGAACCCTCAATGGCGCACCTCATATTGCACTCAACTGGAGACCATCATACCACCCCTAGGAACAGGAGGCTCAGTTCTCAGGGTCACCCACTCCCACAGTAGCTGCTGGGCACAAGGGACCATTCATGTGTGTCCCCTCTCTAATCCATGAGCACTTGCAGGTCCAAATCAATACTATGATTTAGAAAGAGCTACCCTGCCTGGCAGGGTGAGGTGAGGCATGGTGGGGAATTTGGACTTGGGTAAAGAGATATTCTTATCGGACAGGGCTTGGAGCAGGAGGTCAGGCTCTGATTGGGTGGGCCCTACCTAAATGGCAAGAGCAGCCCTTCCCTAGCTAAAGCCTAAGAAGCTCACCTCACCCTGACATACACTGTTCACCGCCTGTTTTCTTTTCATCCACTATAGGGTAAAGGAGGAGCCTAAAGTCTTGGGTTCTTGTTTGGATACAGGACCAGCTGTGTGACCCTGGGCTGATCTGTATTCTCTCTGAACCCTACCTGAATGAGGGCTTCTTTCTCCAGCATTCAGAGAAAGGGTACCAATGAGAGGATGAGAGGCTGGGTCTTTCTGCCTCTTGGATGCTGAGACCTTGTTGGGAACTCCAGAGAGTGATCCTGCTGTTAAGGCGACAGCCTAGGCCCGCAGGGGAAGGTGGAGAGGGAGTGAGTAAAGATTTTAAATTGAGGTGAGAGGAAGGGAGCTGATTTATAGAGCTCAAAATCTCAGCTCTCCATTTATCTAACCCTTTGACTCAATTAACCTCTGTTGTATTATAGTAATCTGATTTCCCCCAAATTTTCGTATTTAATCTTTTTTTTTTTTTTTTTTTTTTTTTTTTTTT